TTTTTTTTTTTTTTTTTTCCTTTGGCTAATTTTTCTTTCTCAATCAAAACCCCATGTCGGATCCACGCTCTGTTGCCCTGGTCGGGTGCCGGGAAGGGGCTTCCGGGTCTCTGCACAGGTCAGGCCCCATGAGGTAGAAGAGGGCGCCACGAGCGAGTCCCACGCCTTCGCCCGACGCGGACCCCCTGGCCACGGCCGAGTGCACTGGCACCGGAACCCGCCGCTCCCCTCTGTTTTCCAGACGCTACATTTTCTCTGTGGTGGAGAACCTTCAGAGGCTGTGCCACATGGGGCTGCTGCAGTTCGGCCCCACAGAAAAGTTTCAGGACAAGGATCAGGTAACGTGTCCCGTGCCCAAACGAAGGGGGTCCTGATGGCCAAGCAGTTTCCAGACAGCTGGCCGGTCGTGGTTCTGAGCTTCCCCCCGCGCCCCGTCTGCGTCTCCCTAGGTATTCATTTTCTTGAAGAAGAACGCGGTCATCGTTGACACCACCATCTGTGACCCACATTACAACCTGGCCCGCAGCAGCCGGCCCTTCGAGAGGCGTCTTTATGTCCTGAAGTCCATGCAGGATGTGGAGAACTACTGGTTTGACCTGCAGTGCGTCTGCCTCAACACCCCTCTAGGTACCGTCTGTCGTTGCGGGGCTCCCTGTTCTCCCCGCTCTCTGTGCCATCAGTGGGGTTTAGAGCAAGAAGAAACTAGAAGTCGCCGCCAGTTTTCAAACTGTTCTCCAGAGACCTAGAGTGTCCTTGGGGCTCCCTGAGGAAGGAGGGCGATGGGCTTCGAGTAGGGGGGCCCCCAGGCCACTCTGCTTTGTCTTCATTCACTCGTGCATTCAGTAGGTGTTTGTTGCACACCTGGTGTCTGTCATTCCTGGGCCTGACCCGGACACACGCACCCCTGCCTTCCTGAGTCTTAGTTCTCATTAGAGAAGACACACAGATCCACGTCCCTTGCTGAGACAGATGCTGCGGAGGAAGTATACAGGGGCGTGAGTGGAGGCTGTTTTAATGGGGTGGCATTTGAGCCGAGCTCTGAAGGCTGAGGCGGAGCCCGGAGCCGGGGAAGAGCAGTACAGGCGTGGGAACGTCGCGTGCATCATTGGGAGAAGCAAGAGGCTGGTGAGGGCGGGGAGGAGAGTGGCAGCTGCCATTGGAGAAGCAGGGAGGAGTCAGGACTCTGGGGGCCCTGTAGGACTTGGTACGGGGTTCGGGTTTATTCTAAGAGCAGGAAGAAGCCGCTGGATAGTTGTAGGCAAGAAGTGACAAGATCTCTGCCATTTTTCTTTTCTTTTTTTTTTTTTTTTTTAATTTTTTTTTTAACGTTTATTTATTTTTGAGACAGAGAGAGAGACAGAGCATGAACGGGGGAGGGGCAGAGAGAGAGAGAGAGAGAGAGAGACACAGAATCCGAAACAGGCTCCAGGCTCTGAGCTGTCAGCACAGAGCCCGACAAGGGGCTCGAACTCACGGACCGTGAGATCGTGACCTGAGCTGAAGTCGGACGCTTTACCAACTGAGCCACCCAGGCACCCCTTCCATTTTTCAAAGCTCACCCTGGCTGCTGGGTGGGGAATGAACGGAGGACCCCAAGAGTAGAAACAGGGTTGTGACTCCTGTCCCAGGGAGATGTCCAATGGTGACAGTGAAGGAGGGGGGCGGCTTGGCAGGTGTTTTGGAGGAAGAATTGAACAGATTTGGCCAGCAGGTCAGATGAGTCGGGTTTGGGGGTCAGGCCTTTGCTTGTGTCTTCTTTCTATCCCTGCCATGTCCCTTGACCTGTGTTCACCTGGCAGTGACCACTCGTGCATCAAGCATCGTCTCTTTGAGGAAGCCTTTTCAGCACCTTTATGCTGTCAGCTGCTCTTTCTGAGGATTCCTTGCGCACAGGAGATTGGGCTTCCGTCCCCACGGTGTCTCAAAGTGCCTGGTGCACGGTCGACGTCCCGTGAATGTTGGTTGACTAGATGGAGGCTTTGTGCAAGGCCATAGACCAGTGCTCTTTCCTCCAAGCCAGTTTCCACCTGGTCTCTTCGTGCCACTTCTACTAGGAGGAAGGGCTGCCATGTCCGGTCTGAACCTGGGAGGGGAGCCCTCTTCCCTTGCTCCTGTCACGGAGCCGAAAGGTCACCATTGCACCTCATTTCTTGGAAAGCCGGAGGCCCAGGTCTGGATGGGGGCGAGGGGCTGCGGGGGAGCCCATGACCCACACTGCTCGCTTGCGTTTGGTAGATTTGTTTACTGTCGGTGGGGTGATGAACCCTTGCAGTGAGAACCTTTAATGTAATGGGTCCAGACAGGTTTTAGAACTCGTGTGTTTCATAGAATCCTCTGGCATTCAGTAAGCTAGGCTTTTACCATTTCGGATTTTTAGAGTGCCCTAATTCCTCTGCATTTTATACCCAGATAAAAATTTGTGAACCGGTATGTTATTTGCACCAGAGTTGTTGAGGCTTGACAACTGGTGAATTTCCATCCCTTTTAGTGTTCATGAGCAGGAATAGGGGAGGCTTAGAGTCCATTAAGCAGGCACCGATTGTCCCTTCATTTAACAAACACTCGAGGAGGGGCGCCTGGGTGGCTCAGTCGGTTAAGGGTCCGACTTCGGCTCAGGTCATGATCTCGCGGCCGGTGAGTTCAAGCCCCGCGTCGGGCTCTGCTCTGACAGCTCGGAGCCTGGAGCCTGCTTCGGATTCTGTGTCTCCCGTTCTCTCTGCCCCTCCTCTCCTTCACGCTCTGTCTCTGTCTGAAAAAGAAATAAATGTTTAAAAAAAAAAATTAAAAAAAAAAAACCACTCAAGGA